AGACAGCTGTGAGCCATCAGATTTTCAGGGGCTGATTTTGGGGAGCAGGCAGCCAGGTCTTCCTTCCTGGCCACTCTTGGCCAGGAAGCGCTGGTGAAACCCGTGATCCAGCCTCCATGGCCAACAACAGGCGCGACAGGGCTCAAACCTGCGTCGCTAGCACCCGGGAGTGGGCGATTGATTGGCAAGCACCTGTGGACAGGCACTTCGAGATGAGGCGCCTGTGTGCTGTGAATTGCTGCTCCAGTGGCACCCGCTCTGGGCCACCCTGCTCCTCCACCGCGCCCCGCCCCGTCTCTGTTCCTAGACGGCCAGCCCCGTCCCTCCCAGGCTCACCGAGGACGCCGGGCTTGAAGAGGGCCTCGGGGCACAGGAACCGCTCTCTGCCGACCTGGACCTCCTGGCCGTCGGGCAGCTGGAACGTCTGTTTGAAGGAAGGCGACTGGGCTTTGGCCAGCTCTTTTTCGAAGTCCAAAGCCACGTAGCAGCACTTTTCCTTGAGGTCTTGGGCATAGTCCTTGTCCCCTGTGGGAGAGAGGGGAGGTGACCACAGTCGCACCGAGGGCCAGGGCCGAGCTGACAGAGGGAGCCGTTTTCCAACGATTCGGGGCCTTGAGGTGAGGACCCGGGAGCACCGTCCTCCTCGCTGGTGTCCACCTGCTCGCTCGGACACTCCTGCATCTCCCATGGAAGGAGCCCCGTGTCGCAGCAGCTCCACGCACGGCCAGCAGTGGGAGCCCGGCAGCCAAGCGGCGGGAGAAAGATGAGGCACGCCATGGTGGTCCCTCAAGATTAAAAATCAAAATGCCGTCAAGTGGATAATTCCAACTCACCGTGACTCCCTAGGACAGAATAGACCTGCCCAGGCGGGGAGGTCCCAGGCCGCCCATCTTGGTGGGAGCGGAAAGTCTCAACTTTCATCTGTGGGGCTGCTGGGGGCTTTGACCTGCTAACTGTGTGGTTACAGCAGCCTGATGGACCACCCACGGTACCCAGCCAAACTCGCTGCCATCGAGTCAAAGCAACCCCTGTGGGCTTCCAAGCCTATGACTGTTTAAGGAGGTAGGAAATCCAGACTTTCTCCCTCCAAGCGGCTGGCGGTTTCGAACTGCTGCCTGTGCAGATCTAAGTCCAATGCGTAACCACTGTGCCACCGGGGCTCCAAGGTCTCTACAGATGGTTAGATGCCATTGAGTAGGTCCTGACCATCCCGGTCCTCACAGTGCAGTTGCTCTGCCCGAGTCCATGGTTACAGCCTCGGTGTCCCTCCTTCTCCTTGAGGCCCGTCCTCGTTTTCACTGCCCCTCGGCATCCCCAAGCATGGTGTCCCTTGGAGGCCGGGTGGGGCAGTCCCACTGCCCTCTAAGGTCCCTGTGATTCGGAAGTGACTCCGTGACAATGAGTTTGAGTTGGTTTCGGGTGCCCAGGTGGCATCATGGGTGACGAGTTGGGCCACTGACAGCAAGGTCAGCAGTTTGAAGCAACCGTTGTCAGAGACTGAAAATAATGGTCTCAAACACAGCAACTGGGAGGATGGGGCAGAGCTCCATTCTATTCTTCATAGGGTCTGTGCCCGTCAGGGCTGACTCACAGGCACCTGCAAACCACCGAGCCTCGTGAACACCACAAAGTGCCCTGTTCCCCGATGGACTGACACCCACGGGTTGGACAACACATACTTTGGGGAGATACAATTCCATCTGTGACAACCATCATCATCATCAACCCACTCCGCATCCTTAAGTCTACACAGGGATATTTGTAGAACAAGGACCCCTCGTGGTGCCGCGGCTTAAACACGCAACAGCCAACCAAAAGACTTACCGGTGACCATCTCAGCAGCTGCTCCACCGCAGGAAGACATGGTTATCTGCTTCCATGGCAATGACA